TATATATGCCTATAATAAATAAAAATAAAAAACTCAAATTCGGGTGAAAATGAGTGTCTACACATACTAATAGTTAAATATTGTGAATAAAATAGAGTTTGTGGTATTGTAGAGATAATGCTATAGATGAATTATTATTTCATCTTTAGAATAGAGATAGGGTTGAAGATGCCCGAAGATTCAAATTTATTGCGTGGCTAACATAGTGGTCTTATTTGTTTATCATCAGCTAGCTTGCACGTTAACATTTCAACAGATTAGAGGTTGATTAAATGAAACAAAAGCTTCCAAATCGTGCTCTTCTTAGCGTTGGTCCGCCTTATTTAGCTAATTAAATAGGAACCGATGCATAATTTTATATTAGGAAAAAACTTATTAAATTTTAAAGGAAAACAAACTTATCAAATTTTAAAAGATAAAAATATATTTTTTTAATTGAAAATATTAAAAAATTTAAAATATATAAGAATTTAAAATTTTCAGGACAACCCCACCCACCGTCTTGGTCTATCCTTCTAATCAAATGCCAAACATTATTTATTTGAGCGGAGGATAAATAACAGTTGTTACTATTAAATGAGTTTAAAAATAAATTTAATAACAAACTTTATTCAGACGATACTAAATTTACAAAGAAAATGAAGAAAAAAAAAGTGTCAAAAGCAGTTTCAGCGTCAAAAATTACTCGTAGGAATGAATTTGTAGGATCAGACACACACAATTTAAACTATTGGCATGAATGGAACACCGTATCTGCTTACATATATTCTAAAATGGAAGGCAGTTGGCATTTTCTGTACTTTTGTTTCCCCGAAACTCTGCCATTATAATATGTATTAATTACATTTAAACTATTATTTATTTATGGATAAATTATATTTAATCATCAAACTATTTAAACAATTCCATTTGGTCATCCAATTATCTTTCTTTTTTCTAAAAAGCTATATCTAATATTACATTTTAATTTTATTATGATAATCCGCCGTTAAAGAATTAATAATGTGATAATTGAGAAAAATGAGACGACAATCATCGCATAAATATGAGTAGCTATAATTAGGAATTTGTAAATGTAGTTATGAACCAATCCAATACTCTTACTATACCCTTTTTGCATTGATACCAACCCATTGCTCTAATTTTAATTTAAAGAAACGATAATGTTACAGAGGAAACAAACGTATAGGTAAGCAAAAATGGGAAATATTGTTTTTTTTGGGTTGAGACTACATTCGAATATGTTAGAATTGAGTTGACAGCCTAGGTGGTAGGGTAGAACTGAATTTGGCAGTCTACGTGGTAGTAAAAATGTAAACACCACGTAGGCCGCCAATAAGAAGCATGTGTCCAATTAATTAAAACTTTGTCTCTGGATGCTTCGTTCTTTTGTCGGTTGGCCTATTTGGAAAGTGATTATTCATAATTGCCTTCTTTGAAAATAAACACGTGCTACGTTTTCATTTATTCAACATTGTCATCTAATCAATCATCAATACCTTACTCTTTCTTCAACATTGCATTTCAATCACATATTACTTCTACTTTGACATCATCTTCAACAATAATAATAACAATAATATAGTCGTTATAAAAAAATTCCACGTCAAGTAGTCGAGAATAAAGAATTTACCACGTTGATGAGTTTGTATCACATGTGGAATTTGGCAAATAATTTCTTTTTAAATATTTTAATATAATTATAATATAATATTTATTTATAATTTTTTTATTACTATTAACGATAAACAAACTTTACATACACCATAACATAAATTCAAAATCTCTATTAAAAAAATAGTAATTCCTTCTGTCATTAAATCCGTTGAATAAATTCTTAAAGAAAGTACAGAAAGAATCCACGTAATCTGACAGGAATGATATGGGTCCCATATCTAGTATGACTTTGAGTTAACAACTGTCGGTGGCGGAGATTACTAATAAAATAATGATATTTCCATTAACAAATAAAATTTTGGAAATTTATCTCGAAAAATCACATTTTTCATTTAATATTATGGATCAGACACTATTTAGATTATATTTTTTAATTTAATACAATTTGCAGAAAGACGTGATCCTTGCAGTGTGCTTAACGTTGATTTGGCGTCACATGAGGTAAGACGTGTCCCGTGAAGCGCGCCTTATGTTGACATTGGATACACGTGTGTATAGCGCGACCCCTGGAGCGCGCCTTAGACCACGTAGGGTATAGCGCGGGGCAGGAGCTGCTACTTAATTTGAATCTGACACAATTATATTCGGTGCGGTCCTGGGGCCGCGCCTTAGCTTTATCTGATATAATTATGTAAGGCGCGGTGTAAGTACCGCATCTTGTATAATTATAATAATTTTTCTCGGCTATAAATACCCTTCCCCCATGAACTCCTCACATATCCTCTCAACAGAAAAAAAAAATTAATACAACAATCCGACAATCTTCTCATATTTAATTCAGAAGTTCGTTCGATTTTTCGTTATAAGGTAATTTTGTTATATTTTTTTATTATACTTATTGTTTATTATGATTATATGAAAAAATATTATACTAATTGTTGTCAATTAATTTGTATTTGTAAAATTAGAAAGCGGGAGCATACGTCGAAATAGTTTTGCAGTGCAGGTAATAATATAAAATTATATTATTTAAATTATTTACGTTTATACGTAAAAAATTTATTGTGTTATATTTTCGTTATTATATTATTTATTTAATCATGTTTGTTTCAGTTTTTTTTTTGCAGATATAATATTGCCGCACTTTTAAATTAAAGAATGACGCGACTTTCAGCTATTGTTTATTATGATTGTGAAATTCGAGAAGATGAAATCGGCGTTGTTTTCGTATCACTGGTTGTGATTCCTCGCTGTCATCATCATCGCAGTCGTCGTCGTCGTCGTCCTGAGCAGTTACATTTTGTTGATGAGGAGTTAATGACGATGAAGCACCTCCATAAAATAAGGACCCTCGAGGTGTATGACTGACTATCCCACTGGCCTGCGAAAATTGGGAAAACTCATAAAACCCAGACATCGCTGAGTGTGAAAACTGTACATGAGGTCTCTGTGCTGCAGCCATGGGTGATGAGGCTGAACCCACCAAATATCCATCATATGAACCCCAAGTCAGATATGCAAACATAGACCCATAATAGCCTCCATGAGGGGTCATAAAACTCTGTGACGGTGGTGGCGACGGGGTCATAAAACCAGGTGAAGACGGCGGCGACGACATCTGGTAATGCAAAGGCGGTGGTGGCATCATATATGGTCGCGGTATGTAAGTCGATGGATACGATGGCTACTGGAAGGTCATGATGGTGCAGCTGAGGATGAACCGGAAGCACCTACTCTCCGTCCACGAGTCGATGGACGATGGTGCTGTGTCGGTGAACGTCTCTATCGACGTTGTGGAAAGGTCTGCCCTCGTGCATCCTCGGGAAGCAGAAACGGTTTCCCGTTACTGTTGAACCACTCATAATAACCATCAGCAACCATCAATAGGTCAAGTAAAATGGGCTCTCTACAGGGAAGGCACCGATATTGATTCTCCCACGACACGAGCCACTCATGTTGCCTCACCAACCAATCTGTATATGTCTTGACACGTCTATCCGTGCTATGCAACTCGTCCATATTGCGAGGTGCTTCCGGAATTGGTTGAAAACAACCAAATTGCCAGAGCACGCGATCAGTGGAGTGTCACTCGACAGTCGCATAACAGATCAAAGGGACCATCGCCATCCAAACATCTGATGGACCCCTAAACTCAGATGGAATCACCGTCCTCACATCACCAGTAGAATATGATACCCATTCAAACTAAAACAAATATATATAATTTTTATCAAAATAATAATCTAATTATATAACTATAATCTAAAATCGATTTTTAAACATTAAAATTCATACTTGTGTGTCAACCTTTTGATCGATTAACACCCTAATTTTTTCTAAATCATCAGGTAGCTCATGATGATTTTTCCTATCAGAAGACCACCTATTCAAGGGGGAAAATTATTATACGTTGTATCAAATGATTAATATATGAAATTAGTTTTACAATTACCTCAATAGTAATGGAAATACGAATGTGTTCTTGACAACGAGACATAAATGAGGTAATCGATACCATGCCAAAGACTGCAATAACATGAGACATCTGCCGATAGCATTTTTCCTATAGTCAATGACTCGACACATCTCCCTATACAAGAAAGTCAAAACTGACGAGCCCCAACTGAGTGATCCGACCAGATGAAAGTCGCTAAGATGTCGCAACCACATGCAGTGAACTTGGTTGCGAGATTTGTCCGGCATCAGCAACCCTCCTATCAGCTGTAGTATGCATGCCCGTGCATACATTTTAACTTCATCATCAGAGGCGTCATCGCTCAACTCCCGAAAATTTGCATCTAACCAATTTAACGGTATCCGACCACTGTTAAAATTTTTCGGGACATATCTTAGATTTTCCCGGCACAAAGTAGTCCAGGAACCCTGCGTGATCCCTGATATCACATCTCTATCCATCGGAAGCCCCATGTGCATAGCAACATCCTCAAGTGTAGTCGTGCACTCTCCGCACGGAAGATGGAATGTGTGGGTCTCCGGCCTCCACCGCTCTACTAAGGCAGAAATAAGGTCTGGTTCTATCTTACAGTGACTCTGATATCTACCTATGTAACCGAATCCAACGTCTACTAAATACGACAAGATACAACTAGGTGCCACTAACTTAAGGTTCCTAATAAAAGGATCTAATACACGATCATTCTCCTAAAATTAAATAATTAAAAAATTAATTCTTAATCTAATAATCATGCATTAAATAAATCAACAAATTATTACTAATAATTTAAATTAAATTAAAACGTTAAAATGTTACCGTATCAGCAAAGTGTCGAGATATATGATTTTCATCTAAGCGAAGTAGATTTCCTTCCATGATATATCTGCAAAAAAATTATATAAGTAAAATATTAAATAAATTAAATACTTAAATATATTAAGTACAAAATATTTAAAATATAATAAAATATACTTTAAACAGAGAATATAAGAGTATTTGAGAGAAGTTGAGAGAATTTAGTGTGATAAAAGTGGTTGAGGATGGGTATTTATAGGGAAGAATTGGAGTGTGAAGCGTCGGGGTAAGTGGGTAATTAAATCTAAGGCGCGCTGTAAGGGGCGCGACTTATTGACATGTGGCAGATTCACAGGTAAGGCGCGACCCATGCCCCGCGCTATACCTTACGTGGCCTAAGGCGCGCCCCAGGAGCTGCATTATACACACGTGTATCCTATGTCAGCATAATGCGCGCCTCACGGGGGCGACTTACCCCACGTGATCCCAAATCAGTGTTAAACGCGCTGCAAGGGCTCACCCTTTTACAAAGGGTGTTAGATTAAAAAATATAATCTAAACGATGTCTGATTAAAAATATTTAATAGAAAAGATGATTTTTCGGGATAAACGCTAAAATTTTGAAAAATGTAATGCAATTGCCCAATTAAATATCAAAGAAACCTATCATTAGATCAGTTGCTTAATAAGGGAACACGTGTCATGAGTGGGCCATTATTTTTCATTTTTTGGTTTTGAGCGTATGGGAACGGTGATTTGTCATTTATCTGTCGCTTTCAAAAAGCGGTCTCCCAAAAGAAAGCGTCTGAAGGTGATGTCAGGTTTTAGTGATTGGGAAAGCAATACGTTAAGTACCTAAATTAATAGTGTTATTTCGTTTAAGTACTTAAACTTTCATTTGTTTCATAATCATACCTAATATTCTTTTTGTTTTATTTTTTCATCTCGTAATTAAAAATTTAATGGAGTTGTTACATGGCACTTTTTAATGGGTAAATTACATTATTTCTCATTCAACTATCTTCTCACTCCTATTTTGGTCACTGAAGTTTAATTTAATTACTTAACTTTCAAATTACTCATAATTTAATCATTATAACTTTTAAATTTATTTTTTTATTTTAATAATATTTTAATAATATCAAAAATTCATGTAACGAAAATTATTAATAAAATAAATTAGAGTAATTATAACATAATTAATTTAAAATTGTGTAGTTAAATTAAAAAATTAAACTTTAATGGTCAAAATAAGAGTGAAAAGATAGTTTATATGATGATGTAATTTATCTATAAAAATGACTCGTGAAGTAATTTCATTAAGTTTTTAACACAAGATATTAAAATGAAATAAAAAGTAAACTTTAAGTATGATTTTAAAATAAATAAAACTTTAGATACTAAAATAAAAATAAAATCAATAATTTAAATACTAAACATTTTTCTTAATGATTAATTAGATTATTTTTATACTAAAATAGCATTCTGTCGGTGGGGAGGAAAAGAGGCGGACCGCGTCGGGTTATAACCCCAAATCAAAGGTTTTCTTTCTTCTTTATATTATTATTATTATATGAAATAATTTATGAATATGTTTTTGTTAATTTTATATTTTTCGTTTGAAAGTTTTGCGGTTCTTTGAAATATATACATGACATATTATTTTTTAAATTTGATTATTAATATTTAATCATTGGTAGTGTAATTGAAATTTATTATTATTAATTTATCAGGAAATAATCGTTTTAATCTTACTATCTCAATATCAAAATTCAATTTACTTATTAACTTTACTTAAAAAATTTAATATCATTCTATTAACCAAACTGATTATCGGTGATGAAATGAATTTTAAAAGCATATAGTCCAAAACTATTGTATTATATTAATTTATCACAATATAAAGCTGTGTAGAAACCACTGAGATTTTGTATGAAACCTATAGATGTAATGATGATTTATTGATACAGTGGGTTTTTGAGCCCATTCTGAACCTATTGGTTATTGAATAGAAAATAAAGAAATGAAAGAGCTAACACAAAGATATTTAAGAAAGCCCACGTGGTAGTATCTATTTATTTTAATTATTTAAATATTTTTTGATTATCCTAAGTTGATTATACGTCTATTCTAAAAATTCACAACTATTAGATAATGAAAGCTCAAACACCCTTGTAATTTCTAATACTCGAACGAGACCTCTAGGGATAGCAATCATCACTTTAATTATTGAGGTAGTTTGGTTCGTACCCAATTTTAAATATTAGTTTGAATTTTTTGTAAAAAAAGTAATCAAGGCCTTGAATTTAAAGTTATGTTGGCCGACTCCACCAGTGTGATCGTGCTGTTCCCCGCTCTTGTCGAAGAACACATCATTACTTGCATTGCAAGCAATGAACTTACACTGTTGTCACCTCTGCCACGCTATAATCTTTGGTAGCATCATAGTTGAACACTGTTGAATCAACAAAAAAAATAAGAATATATACATTAAGTTGTTTTGAGATGTAACACAATAGATTTCCTAAAATGCATGGCGTAAGGAACAGACCCAAAGTATCGCGTAGCTCTATGGACTCGCTATGAACCAAACTATAATAGTTAACAAGCGGTTGCCAACCAAGCAGTTCACCAACTATGGAATTGGTAGGGAAGCTCGAATATAAACACAATCATCTATATAAACTATAAGTATTGTACTTCCTCAAAGGAATGCTCTTCGAATTATAGCCAACCGATTATTGATCAAACTAGAATTTATTCAAAGTCATATAAACAACAAAATCGTCTATATGAAAAAAATCAAAAAGAAAAGAAAGGTATGTGGGGGTCTCTAAATCCAGTATCATACTCCAATCCAGTATCTTAACATGAAACAGTTGAAATCCTGAGCAGCAGAAATAACATTAGAACAAGAGGCAGAGAGGAAGTGATTCAAATGGAGTCTCTCAGTCTGCATACACCCAAGTGAAGGGGAACAAATCTCTTATCCAAGGCTCACCAGTGCTATTGCTTTACACCTAACGAAGTTTCAATGCGTTGAATGAGCTGATCAGCACCCAAGGCACCCTCTGATGATCATAGCTCGAACAAGTCAAAAATAGTTGGATTACAAACCAGATGAGTTGCTATGGATTTAGAAACAACACAAATTAACTCGAAGAGAATATTGAAATTCATGATTGTTGCAGCCTATTAGTGGGATTAACTGCAAAGGTTACACAAAATGGACCTCCCATCCCAAGCAATAAAACGTCAGCTCCATGGTTAAAGTCAAAGAGATGGAAAGTCCAGGTGTAAATAAACCAGGAGGGGAACAGTAAGAACTGCATATATCTGAATGATTCGCAATTTCACAATAACTACTTAGGACAAGCATCCCAAGGCATTAAAGATGAACCAGCAAAGGTTTTTTACAAATTTATCGTAAAGGAAATGATATGTTTTTCTTCCTGTAAGCTGTCTGACTCCGATCACTCATATAAAACATGCTTTTTTCGATTTTATTTCATTACATCCCATGCTGTTAGAAGCAATCAGACCATTTTCAGATTATAAAATATGACTAAATAGCAGCACTCCTCGAATAATCTTTTGCTTTTTCACCTCATAAAAACTGGCAGAACTTCTAAGAAAGAAATGTTCAAGCGAGCATAAATGTACTAAATCAACTTACAAAACGATCAAAAGGTTTTCTCTTAAATAGGATGAAAGTGGGCAATCCTTGTATTTGATATTTATCAGCAATACTTGGGTACTTCTCGGTGTCGATTTTCACAACCCGAATCTTATCTTCAGAGTGGCGCTCACTTCCTCAAGTTCCGGAACCATGAACTGACAAGTCCACACCTACAAAATCAGGCCTTCTTCATAGAATTTCAATCCTTTAACAGAAAATCTAATTTTTCGTCAAACTTATATACATTTATGAATTAGGTTTCGCATTCAAGTGATTTCTTTTTTTAAGAAAAAAAGTTACCAGGTTGCATAGAAGTCACCAATACAGGTTTCTTGGAATTCTCCAACAAATCATCAAAGGATTTAAATGTTTGCTTCTTTGCTTGAACCTATAGAAACCATTTCATCAAACCTGTCAAAATTATCATTCTACAAAACATATTCTACTTAAACTACAACTTAAGATAAACATAAAGAATAGCAATACATTTCACCAAGTTGATTTAACCTGAACTTTAATAAGAACTAATTGAGTTTAACCAAGAAAAAAATGATGTTCGCATTCAATTTATGTAACGAAATTGGAAAGACAACAGGAAATGATAGCAATAGTAGTAAAGAGAGAAGGTATAACAGCGCTTACTTGCAGAGGACGATAGCGAGAGGAAACTGATCTATTAACGAATCGAATGGGTTGAAATCGAAGAAGACGAAAAATATAGGTTGGAAGAACAATAAAAAGGGGGGATGGAGAACCCTTGAGCTTCGTCGATTCAGTGAAGGAACAGTTGCTGATGCGGAAACTGAGATCGCCATTTTCCCCGGAATTTGAAGAATCCGATTTCTAATCCTAGCGTCGTTGGAGGAAAATGTGTAAGCTTAGCTTATCTGCTGTTTGGGTGTGGATTTTTAATCCGAAGGGAAAAATATCTGTTTGGTTTGGTAAAAGAGAAAAATACGAAATTGAGGAACAAGTGTTGTGGTTATTTCTTTGGTATTATACATTGGAATCGTAATTATAGCCGATGGATGGTGCCACCCGGCTGTATTATCTTGTTTGACTTTGGGATCTCCGACTATATTTGGGTGGCCTACGGGCCTTCTGATGAACAATGTTGTATCAGATCTTAAATTGAACTTACATTTGGTGACGTGGCGCTGCGTTGAATCCATATCCATCAGCAAAAAACAAAGTATACGCTACATCCTCCTCATCACATTAGCATGATCCCGACTAACCAAAATAATTTATTTCATATATTTTTTATTGATTGAGTTTATAACTCAAAAAAAAAAAAATTATCTGTTCACATTTTCCATGTTTATCAATGTATTTCTTGAAAATAATATTATCTTAACCATATTATATATGGTTAAGTTAAAATAGCTAAATCTTGAAACCATATAAATAATAATATCAAATGTGATGCATGCACACAAACATATTAAATTTATATGAAATATATTATTCAGTTATAAAATTTCAGTTTAAAAAATTATAAAATTTATTATCTTAAAATACGCACAAATAAAACAACTATCCGGCATACTACACAAATGTGTTTTTTCTAAATTAAATAATTATAACAAAATAAAATCATTATTATTTAGAGGTTCAAGTTCGAGCATCAACAGCTGCAACGGTGATTGTACATTTATTGTCAAATGACGGAGAGTACTTTGAACAAATACTATTTGTAATCACCTTTAGCTTAATAAATTTCAAAATTTATTTTTCAACCATGTTTAATTTACTGATCGATTATTCAGGATCGATTATTACAAAAACCTATTATAAACTCTCAATTCAATTTGTTTCTTTCACGATATAATTCGAATATTGGATTTTGATTTCAAATCTAGTATATGTGAATAATAATATATTAAAAATATATCAATTATTTTTCAAATTCATAAATTTATTATATTAATTTTTGATAGTTTGAAATTCTTAATATAAATTTGGATTCAATAAATCCACGTATTTAAAATTTTCAACTATCGTTTGAATCTTAAATATATATATCTCAATCTTACCATTTACATAGTAAATAATCTAAATTCAAATTTAAAATTGATGTTCCAACTAGAAAATCACAATTGCTGAAAGGAAACAAGAACACAAGCAATTGCTACCAAAAAAGAAGAAAAGTGAACAAAATGGAAGGTAATGATTATTACTATCAAAGCTAGCTTTACAAATGGTACAGAAGAAAGCCTAATGCCATTGCACACAATGGGGGAAATCTAAAACTCATGCAATTCCCTGCTCTCAACTTTTCTCAAACCCAATGTAATGAACAAATACTCGAAAATGATCTAAGGGGCAAAGGTTAAGAAAATTAACTCATCTGTAAGATATCTAAGAATTCCACAATCCACAAGGCATGCAGCACAGTTTTCCAATTTGTAGAAAGAACCACTGTAAAGGGTTCGGATGATCATTTCCCTCCAACGGTGCGGTAGGCAATGGCACCTCCGGAGGCAAATGCCGTGAAATGCATCGACTGCAGCAGCAACACCATCCTCGTTTTCTATCAGTTTTGCCACTCCATCGCATGGGATTTCACCTGCGAGAAACCAAGTTCCATCGAAAAGTTCCAACTTGAATTTAATTATCATTGGCATATGGAAGGTACGATTACTCCACATATCAGAAAAATGTTCAGTGGAAATGGAATCCGGTGCAACGGATCGTAAACTTGTCAGCTGGAAGAATGATGCTGAACATGGGAAGCTTTTTAACAACAGAGCACATAAGCCACTCTTGGAGTAAGCAAATTTAAATCAACACTCAAATGGATAAAAAAGAAAATTAATTTCTAAAGCCTTTTGTTTTATGATTTTTCTCCATAACAAAAATGGCACGTTTAAGCATTGTTATTCCTTAGGTATTCCTCCAGATTAGAACTAGCCTTTACCGAATTGGGCAAAGGCAAATTCAATCTGCCATGAAGCATTTTACTTTCATTTAGCTTTTCAACTTTCTCATATTTTTTCAGGAAACATGAAGTATGCATCTAATGCAAATCCAACAACTTTCATCTCCCTCTTTATAGCAGAGGAGCTTGCAACTGCTCAATGTACTCCTCGGTTGTTAAGACAATTATAATTTCCAGAAGTTGAAATGTTCTTACGAGAGTATATTTAAGCAAAGGCTATAACACATTGACATTCAATAGAAGGTTATATTTCAAAAGCAGTAACGATGTAGAATTAGATGCTTGCCAAAAGAGTATGCATAAAGGTTTTAAAGGAGAAATTTTGAGGGTGAAAATAACTACTCTCATATATCATAAAGTATTACAACTTTTTGGAAACAAAATTTATAGAATAATTACCTCAGCATCCATCAACTACATATATCCGGATATGATTCTACATGGATGGTGTAATCAATGAGATAAGTGATTAATAATGTGATGAATCAGATTAACTTTAGGAAACAATACTTGAGTTACCTCTGGCTGGAGCATGAATCTGATAGCATTTGAAAGCTTCTCAACACAGAGCTCTGATATCGGTATTGTGCAGGTCCAAGCCCTCTCTGATGTACTCTATCACCCCAAAAGAACTGATCTCCGAAGAATGGCACTATGGTCGTTGGGCACTAATCATTCAAAATTTGGCATTAAAACACAATTCAGATTACAAATATAAGACCCGTTAGAAGGTTAATTTAAATAGCTTTGGAGCAAGATCTCACTCAATCTTTGTATTAATAACTAGAGACTTTCTTCAAACAAACAAACAAACAATACACATACAAAAGTAGAAGCGCAATAAAAATGTTATAACAAAAGCAAGTACAAGAAAAAATTCCCCCGCTTTAAGTCCCGTGGCTGTAGTTCCAGCACCACCATGATGCACCTGCATATTTATGAACCATTTTTAATAGACAAATGAAAAAAAAAGTATCAAAAAGATTATGAACTCTTCATCATTAGACACACCTGCTACATTCAGGTGATCTTATGATCAGATATCTGGTCGTTTTTTCAATTCCACGAAAATCATATTGCATTTGTTACATCTAAGCATGTCAAGAATCCCTTCAAAGTAGAAAACATGGAGTCGATTAATTAAGTACTTACCACTGCTGAACATTGAGGAAACACCAATCATGAGGGCAGTCTTCCAGGAGGAAAATATTATCAGTAACTTCTGCAACTGCAGGACAAATAAAATATAAGAAAACTCTGCTTGTAATTCTGAATAGTGAATACTAGTGCGGGTCCCGTAATGTCCTCAACAGATAAGCACTTATAACGACATAACATCCATTTACCAACAAGTTTATCTCAATAATGACTAAAATTCGATTAGAGCATTTTGAACACCAAGTTCCAATTCCTTGATTCAAGATAATGACAATATTCAACGGTCTTACATTGACAAAGTAAACAATGAGTTCAAATTCAAAATAGCAACATACCACAAATAGATGTAACAAAACAAGATAGAATAATCAGAAATGAGCTCTCAAGGGTCAAGACAATAAGTAAGGATAACCAAACAGCATGCAAAAGTTACTTACAGTGCCCTAGATCTCCCCAGCCTCGGTCAATTATTCCTCTTTGTCCTGTATCTTTTAATGCTTCCAAATAACATCTGTTGTTTTCTTGGAATCATCAAGAGGCTTCACAGGCAATAATAAATTATTTGAGTATTTAGTTTTTAGAAGCACAAAAGCATATATCATAAAATGATCCTCATTAACTTCCACCTCAAGAAAATTTGACACGTCTTCCATTTTAGTTCAGCCCTGATCTCTTTCAATTGTATTAACTTAATCAGGATTTCTATTAACAGTGAGCTTCATAGCATTCGCATTAGAAACTGAAGCAACCCTTGCATACTTGATACATATTTTGTCAATTCCTAGACTTTGCATCTAGATATTATATTCAATCCCCATACCAGTCAAAGTCAAACAAACAGAATGTAAAGCTCACCTAAGTTTCTTTCAATTAAAATATTAGGCAGGGTGCAAATGCATATGCACACTCGTATTTTATTTTTCAAGATAAAATGCTTCGATAACCTAGTAAAGTTTCATTCAGTTGATCTTCCTTTTCAAATAATTTAGAAATAACCTTGGCAAACAATGGCATATCTCATAAAAGAAAAGATAGATCATAACTTAAGTTACTTCAAACATCCATGAGAGATATCATACCATGCTTCCAAATCCGATATACATGGGTTGTGGTCCTTTCTGAATCCACTGCAGAAACTCTTCTCGAGGATGATACTTTGACCCCAAGTTCAAAAAACAGTAACCAACAACATCAACCAAAGGACCCCAATCTGCAAATTATTTCATAATGAAGACCCTTAAGGCTTAAATGGTATTAGAATGACTGACTTTAGAACAAAAAAAAAAAGTTTATGGGTATAGAATAAACATAATAAAGATAAAATTTAAATCCACCATATCAAATAAAGCATTTAAGAGAGAGAGAGAGAGACTTGTGTAAAAAGAACGTTAAAAGCTACAGAGGAAGAAGGAATTCTTGTAGAATGATAGAAGAAGTATATGAATAGGGAATACATAGAAGAAGAAAAAAACCATCACTTTGCATAATCACGGATAAAGATTGCTACGCAACCATATTGAAGTTAATAAAAGGAAAGAGAAAGAAATTCCTAAATATCTTTCGTTTATTCAAGGATTTCTTATCCTTGGAAAGTATCATCATTAAGGAGAAAATTCATTTAAAATGCACATGTAACATCACTACCTTTTGGCTTAGGCACAAGATGAGGACTCCACATGTAGCCAGT